GTCTTAGCTAATTTTAGGTCTTTGGAGTCCTTTCCTCTGTGAGCTACAATTTAAAATAAGATCAGATTTGACAGATCATGCAGAGAAGAGTCCAGCTTCAAATAACACACTTCAGATGCACTTCAGATGTCTGTATTCAGTGTTAATGAGTTTTGAAGATCCTTCACTGTGAAGGGGCATAATGCTTCCTGTTGTGTTGTCAGTTCCTAGGCATTTTGGATTCAAGTCTGCAGCTGAAAACTTCTATGCGCAGAAGGTATGTCAGCCTAAGCAAAGCTTTGTATGCTTTGGTTTTGTTAGTTTAAGACAACTGACAGATGTGGAAATTCACTACTGGCTGCAGCTTTTAAAAAAAAATTCAGGAGCTAGGGTTTTGGATAGAGAACAATGTGGGAATGGTAGCAAGTGTCTTTGTCAGCCGCCTTGTTCCGATTATCAGTGTTGTCCAGTTAACACATGGAGTTGAAGTAAAATGAAATAACTTCTGAAAGATCTTTGTTTTAGTCAGAGGGCTATAAAGCTGTCTTAAGCTTCATCAGTATGATGTTTCTTTTTAAGTCTTATAGGATTGTCTGCTGAGACCCAGCAGTAGCAAACCTTTCTTTTGCAAGGCGAGTATCTTGGAAATAGAAAGGTAAATTGTATCATCTTTTTAGCTTTGCTGCTTTTTGCCTTTCTACCAGAGGTTTCCTCTACAGTGAGCTTTGCAAGAACAGCAAATAAAAGCTTTGAATGCAGATAAAATATTGTGATATGGGATACTGGACTCTGCCGCAGTGACAGAAGCATGGCATTCTCCAGCTAAATAGGATAAGTTTAGGAAGCAGAAATCAGTGAAGTCTGGTCTCTCCCTTTCTCTTTTTAATTCATTATGACCACTGATTTTCTTTCACATAGTATGAAGGAGCATTTTTTTTACTTTTTGGGTGTAAGGGACCATTCAGGTAACTCTGTCATCTCATCTTGGATATCGTTCTCAAAAGGCAGCATTGAGTAGACAATCAAAGTCAAGTCCCTTCTATGTTGGAAGAAGTGCTTCTGGAAGTGCTTCCATAACTCAGAGGAAAGGTTGCTTCCAGAGCCATTTTCTAATCAGACAAAACTAGGAAATGGAAATAGGTGTACCACATCTTCAGTTCTGAGGATGTAGAAGACAGAGCTCACTCCAAGCAGACTCACAAAGTCGCAATTCCGTCTTCAGAAGTTTTACTTGTTACCAAGTTTTCTTGGCATCTCAACATCTTACAAGAAAAGGTGATGCTGTACTCTGCAATTGCCACCCACTTCCTGGAGCACCAAGGTACTTACACTTCTCTGATAGCTAAAGCATGCAGAAAAGTTCACCCTGTTAACTCTGATCATGAAAAAGCACTTGAACAGATACTCCTAACTACTGTAAGGCCAAGCTAGCCTCATGAAAATAAGGGGAGAAGCATTGTGTCACTCTAGTGTGTTCATGAGTGGCCATGGGGCTGGCCTCCTTTGGAAGTGCTGATAAGGAAGTGGTGATGAGGAATAACGTGCTTGTAGGGATAGTGTAATCTGATATTAGATTATGCTTATTTTGAAATCAGCCTAATTTTAGGATGGAGTTATGCTAAAGACAATAAATAAATAAGGTTAATATTTCCTTTTAATTTACCAAGGTGCATACAATGAAAATGTAAGGAAAATATAATCAGTTTAACTCAGGAGAACATCTGAAAGATATTCTATTTCCCATGCTCCTTCCTCTGTCACAGATGCTCATTCTAACTGAAAAGGTCAGGGCCTGTCCTTGCCTGTACCTGATGTCCAAGTTGTGTTGGCAGAAGAAAACTTTAGAATGAAGAAATACATTAGATTTCATAAACCGCTCTAGACTTTGTTGCCTTTGTGGTACGCTAGTCCTGAGGCTGTCTTGTTCCTTCATGGTAAGTTCCTATTTTTGACACTTCAGTCTTTGAGCCATTTACAGCCTCAAATTCTCTTGGGTGATGGTGAGGCTTCATGGTGTGGCCAGGTGCCAACCTCTCCTGGCCAGACTGTCAATACAGTTAGTTAATAGCTGCCTCACTGCCTAGCCAAACCCTAGATAATTAACTCATTATGCTAGTGCCTGCTGAGCTGGGTCATTTGTGTTTCTGTCTAGAGTCTCTTTCATTCAATTAAATCTTGTATTTCACATAAATCTATAAAATGAATTTGCAGTTTACATAACCATATACCTGACATTAATGTGTGCAGTTTGTTATTTGCCTTCATTTGATATTGGATATAATGCTGCATGACTATTTCATGATAAAAAATGTCTTGTGATGACTGACCCCCATTTCCATTTAGAGTGTTTTAGCCAAAGTGCTGGTGTATGTATGAAGTAGCCCATAGACACCTGTTTTTTCCGTATCAGGTTATTCAAAATTAAACTCCAATCCAGGGTCAAATGATAAAAAAGGGCTTCAGAGTCTACCTCAAAAATGTTATTTTGTCTCTTTTGGGTTTTCACATGTATGCAAAAAATGCCTGTTGTGACTCATTCCAGTAGCTGCAACTTCAGTGGTATACCACAGAGATATTTCTGTAGTTCAGTTTCAACAAGTTTGTAATATAATGCCTGGTTTTTGCCTTTACTAATATGTAGACTTTTAGCAGAGGAAAAAGAGGAGCAGTTTGGAGGAGTTCTGCAACTAGCAGCACCTCACCACCATTATGGTGGGAATATGTGGAGATAATTCCAAGAAGCTGGGACCCTCTGTGATGAGAGATCTTCCCAGAAACACTGCTGAATTAGATTTTCATCTTCCTCATTGCTGAACTTAGCTCACATGTTCAAATGAAAGGAATATCTATCTATATGGTGGGAGTATTCCCCCAACGCATATTACCTGTGTTTCAAATAATCATGCATATGATCAGAACCACTGCTTATGGAAGAAGTGATCTGCACACTGTACAGAGGTTCATCTCCAGAAACCCTAGATCATGACTTCTGAATCTCAGAAATAACTTTACTTACATTTGAAGTAAGGATTGTGACAGTTATATATGGTATGTATCATATCTGAATTCAAATTGAGCTGCTGCCAATAGCCAAAGCTGTGATACTTGAACAGAAATTCTTTTTTCAGAGATGTATGTGAAATATTACTTACTACTGCTCCAAATGTTGTCAGACTTTACACATAAAGAATGGAAAAGTTATGTCATTTGACAAAATATTGTAAGCCCAAGGTGCAGTTTGAAGTCTTACATTTTTTTTTCAAGAATTGTTAGTTTTTTATGCTTTCATAAATAGCCATCTCTATTAATTCTTGTTATTTGTGAAAGTAAGGCATGCTTTTCAACATGGGACACAAGGCTTCAGGTACTTCTGTTCTTATAGGTGTGGAAATTGATTCCATATTTTCTTACAGTAGGTCACAACATCTTCAGTCTTGTTAAATAATCTGTCCTACTTAACTGTATCGCCGAGTAGAAAAGATTACTGTTACTGAGATAGCCTAAAATAACACTGTGCAAATATGTATTATGTATGTGGAAATGTATGTAAAATACAAAGATATAGTAGATAATTTTCTCATTAGGGGCTTTCTTAATTTATATTAATTTACCGTGATATGGAATAGATTAGCACAGCACATGTAGTGCATTTCATGAATGAAATTGAATGCTGCTGCACTCTGACAACACAATCTTTTTCTTCATCCTTAAAATTCATTTATATTAAATTGCTACAGGAAAGAGGCCTTGCAACTTTTGTCCACCTTTGCCTTATTAAAGAAGACTTTTACATTACTAAAGCTGTGGGTTTGTGCTTTGGTTGTTTGGAGCTTTTTTGATATTTTGGTTTCCTCCTCTGGAGCTGGAAGTAATAAAGATGTGACTAAGCATGTATTTGCAACTTAGTCACTTGACCTTTCTACAACCCACAGCTACCACTAATGCTGCTTTGTAATGGAGACATTATCGTTTATTTAAATCTTGATTAGGAAACAATTATAAGTAGGGTTTTAGTGTAGCAGTAAATTGATGCAGCCTTTAATTCATACTATAGATTGAGTGGATAAGCTTTCTGACTGTAATTAGAGTGAATTATAATGACTTCAGTTGGTTGTCTTGCCACCAGCGGAGTGGGGCCTATGACTGTTTCTTCACATTTATTTCTTTAGTTCACTCTTGATTTTATATTGCTGTTAAATGCTGTTTTTTAAGTCCGTACAAAATGGAGTTACATTTACAGCTGAATGATACATATTTTGTATTAATAAACGAGGAGCTTTTGGAAATAACCTGGCACCTTAGCAACACTGTGCGGCTATGCTGTTTCTTCACAATTCAAGTGACAGACCTGCTCTTAATAAAGTTGGAGATAGATATTTTCATGCCTGGTTTAACAATGTAAATGGAGAGCATTTTTTTCCTTGCATATAATTAAATGTTAGACACAAATGGTTATTTTCAGTACCATTTAGTTTTTATATATATTGGGAATGTTGCACAATGTTTCTTCTTAGGTTTCTCCAACGTATTGTTTTCCTTATATGCTATCTCTCTGGGTTTTTTTGGGTTGGTTTTTTTTTGTTGTTTGTTTGATGGTTGGTTTTTTTGGGGGGTCTTTTGTTTATTTTGTCTTTTCTACACATTTTCTTTAAAGATACACTGCTTGATTAAATGTAGGTGTAGCAGCACCTCCTTTGAGAAAGGGAACTTCTTTTGAAATGCCTTGTAGAAATGTATTAATCTACTTTATTTGAGAGTAAAATGCATGTATTTAAGTTTTATATTGGGTATTAAACACTCAGTGGGATCATTAAGGGTAACTTCTTTATACTTTGCTGACCCTTCCTCCCTTGATGTACCAGATGTTTTTCACTTTAGGCATAGAAGTGTTCTGTATGTCACAGTGCTCTGTAAGCACAGAATTAAATCTGACTACTGAAGAGAAAAAAATGGCAAAAAATAATATACAAGGTGTTCTAACTTTGTGGTTTGGGTTTGTTTTGTTTTCTGTCAATCTGCAGTGGATGATCCAGAGCCCTTACAAAGCTGCAACTTTCTTTGGGTGCATTGGCAAAGATAAATTCGGAGAGATCTTAAAGAAGAAGGCTGAAGAAGCTCATGTGGATGCCCATTACTATGAGCAGAGTGAAGAACCAACGGGAACTTGTGCTGCCTGCATCACTAGTGATAACAGGTCTGGGGCCTCTGATATTTTCCAAAATATAAATGCAATCAGTATAGTGTGTAGAGCCTCATTTTTTTGAAATATTTGGCCTTGAAAGGTTGTGATTTGAATGATAAAGAAAATATTAGCACAGTTTGAGATAACACAGGACTGCCTGGATCATAGTTTGGGCCTGGGCAGTATTAATACTTTTAGAGAACAGCAGTTGCATTATGGCAGAAAAATGTGAGATAATAATATACTACTTCTTTCTAAACTTTATAGCTTCCAGTTGCACTGCAGAGAGAAAAAATGTGGGAGACAAAAGTTGGTTAACAGGTATGCTTATGCAGCCTATGTGAAAGCTGGTTGGCATGTGACGCATATACTTGATTGGCAAATGAGGACTGTACTTCAGGTGATAATGTGTTTAAAGAGGGTAGATGTCAGTATATAGCCTAATTGAAAGGGTTAATTTGATTTTATACAAGAGGAAGAAAAAAGCTTGCTTTTTTGTTATTTTTTTCGCTGTTGCAGTTCATCTAATAACTGTAATTCTGTGCGTCTGCATCTTAACAATTTCTTCTGAATGCTTTCAAGTGCTATTTTTTTAAGGTAGTCTTTCCTATATACAAAAATCACTTCTCCAGAACTCTGTTCAACCTTTGTTGTATCTGTACATGATTAACAGTGGTCTTTGTGGTATTTTGCATGGTTTCAGAGTATTCCATAACTAAGAGCCCATTTATAGAGTGATTTATTTTTGGTATTGTAATAATTGTAATAAGATTAATAAAACCAAGAATTTCAGGGAGAGATAGTGAAGACAAGAGGCATTTGTATTGAGCATGGTCCTTTGCTTTCTTCTTTCTCCCTCCACCCACGACACTCAAACTTATGTACTGCTACTTTGCTTCTTACCTCCTGACAATTTTTCAAAGGTTTCAAAACCAGCCAGTCAGGTCTGCCATAATCTTGGGATGTTTCCAGCACGCACCAACCCTCCCTGATTTCTGCCAATATCTAAATCTTCTGATACTTCGAAGTATGAGATAACTTTCTGATAACTTTGAAGGTAGATAAGGTTTTTCAGAGCCATGTCTAGCTAGGTTTTGAGTATCTCCAAGAATGGAGGTTGCACAACCTCTCTGGGCAAACCTGTTCCACTGTTTGACCACTCTTCATGGGAGTTCTGTTGTTACCCGATTAGAATTTCCTTCTTCCAGCTTGAGGAATGTTCCTTCTTGTGTCCAAGTATAGTCTGGCTTCATTTCCTCTGTAAACTTTCATTAGATATTTGAAGATGGTAGGCAAGTCTCCTCTTAGGCCCCTCTTCTTAAGGCTCAGCCAAGCCCTTCTTCATTTGTTAAGTGTTTCAGTCCCGTATAATATCTTAATGGCCCACTGCTGGACTCACTGCATTATGTCAGTGTTTTCCTTTTAGTGGAAAGCTCAAAGCTGGACGTGGAACTCCAGATGAGGTATGGAGACCAGAGCAGACTTTGTTTCTGTTCTGAATATAAACTTCCTTTGTCCTGCTGGCTACGTGCTTGCTCATACAGACTAGAATGTGATTAACCTCCTCTGTGTGCGCTGCCAACTAGTGTGCCAAGCCTGGTACACCAGCACTTCCCCTTGTCCTTTTCTGCAAAGCTGTGTTGTATCCTGTCAACATTCAGCCTACATTGTTGCACTGGACTCACTCCATTGTAGTTGCATGAGTTTGCATTTGCCTTTAAGTCTTCTGCCAGCCCAATTCTCCAGGCTGTTGAAGATCCACTGAATGACAGACAGCTATGTCCTCCAGCTTATCAACCTGTCCCTCCCAATTTAATGTCATACATAATGTCTTACTCTCAGGAATGAATGTACATACTCAGTGGGGGAAGGAAATTCATTCATCTTCATCTGGAGTTTTGACATTAATTATGCCTACATACTTCTCCCTTCATCTCCAGCATCCATATTCAGTTTTTCAAAGAGAAGACAAGCAATAAAGATGTTTCTGCTCTGTGATTCTCTCTGTCTTTAGTCACATAGTGTCTGTGTATGCATCCTGTAGCAATCATCATTTCCTAGATGACATGATGGGAAACTGAAGTCAAGGCTGTCAATAGACATACATCATGAATTCAGGAAAAATACGTGTATCTTTTGCTGTACATCTCAATGGAATTTAAGAGTTTAGGTAAATTTATTAATAAAAATGCCTGCAAGTAATTCTATAACTTATTAAGCAGCATATCAAACGTTTGCTCAAATACTAGAGACAGTGGCTTCATCTAAATCATTGTTTCAGAGCATTCTTGAGAATGTGCAGGGAGTATAAGTCACTTATTTCCCTCAGGAGACAGAAATAAAAGGACAGTGGATGCTACTAAAGACTTCATTGTGCAACCCACCCTCTTACAGTGAGAGCAAGTTTGTTCTCCATCTTTAATTATCCTCTGATTGTTTCTTGATTTTCAGAATTTTCTATATTTGTAAGAAACACTTCAACCTGGCCCCAGTTCATAACTCTATTTATTGATTAGTCTCTTGTCCCGGTTGAAGTACATTCTAATTTCCTTCTTCAGGTGATTCAGCTTTCTTGTCTCTTTTGGAGACGCTGGCTAATAGCTCTCTGGTTATTCCCAGTGAGTGGCTGTGTACATTTATGTTCCAGATGCCTTATGTGAATGTTTCTTTTTTCTGCTAAGTCTGTCTAGCTTTTTACAGGGGAGGGTTCTGAGCTAATTTGTGATCACCATTTTGAATTCTCTAGCTTAGCAATACTAATACGCTTTGTTTTCTTAGAGCTTTTCAAGAAAATCCTAACACACGATTAAACTCTAAAGTAGTACCCACACTTTGTGACTTTGATTTGTGTGTTCTGCTCAGAAATACCTGCATGCACAGAGTCCCCGTTAAGCTGTTTGATTTGAAACACTCTGGCTGTCTTCAATTATGGTATTTCACTGAAAAAACATCTACCTTCTATGTGGCCCACATGTTGAACTTAGTGCTGTCACAGTTAAAGTTTTAATTTGGAAACTCCTGGTGCTTTGTCTTCAGTGTAATGATCTTTTATTACACATCATGTGCAGAGCATCTCTACAGTTGGATGTAGCCAAAGAGCTAGATTTACAGTTTCAGGGGCACATGGCAAGTGAAAGGAAACATATAGAAAGTCTTGCTTAGTTTTCTGGAACATAATTGCTTTTCACTTAGCAGCATACGTAGGCAGACAAGAATTTTCCAGTTAGGTCCTTGATGGATATTTAGGATTTGCCAAAACTAAAAAGATTTAATTTTCTTTTTAAATTTGGTTTACAGAAAATTACCAGAGTTATGCATGTCTTTCTTGGATTTACTTGGTTCTCTAGTGGATTTCTTGTAATTAAAATTATAATATTCATAAAGGCTGAAACTTCTGGCACTGTTGTACTCTCACTGAGTGACTCGATCTATTGATTTATAAATTTTAAATTTATTTTATTTTCAAAATTCACATTAGTTCTCATTACCTTTAGGCTTTAGAATTAAAGAGATGAGCCCCAAGAATATTCCTGGGTTGAAACAACACACAACTGTGCTATGTATTTTGATATATTCAGAAAAAGTTAGCCTAACTTTTTGGTTTAATACACTTGATCTATTTAACTTACAGGGGTTGTCAGTGATGAGTGCTTCGGGGAGTTTAAAGGGAGACTTGGTTGCTGTCTTCATAAGGGATTTTGTTGGGCTTTGTTTTTTTGTTTTGGTTTTTTTTTTATTGAATAGGACAAAGAGAAATGGTAATAGTGAAAAGATGCTGTTTTAAGGTGGAATAAATGTTAAGAATTCCTAGTTTAGTTTGCTCCTAACACCTGCACATGACATAACTTGGTAGAAGCAGATTACCAGTTCGCTCTGATCCATTGAATTGTAGTAGCATTTACATTGAAAAGTGTTATACCTACAACATTAGTTGTATACACATTGGAGAAGGCAAAAGTTTTCAATAGCCGTATGTTGTATGTGTAATTACACATTATTTATCTGGCTAATATACTTAAATATCACAAAACGATGATGTGTTAATGTTAAAGGTGCATCCTATGACTATTAAATCATGAAAATTAAATTTAAAACCCTCTATGCAAGCATGGAAATGTCTGTTTCTCAAATTCCCTTCACTAAATATTGGATGTTATAAAACTTTATCATAATAAAAGTGCTCAGAAGGATTTGGTCATCATAGCCAGAGTGGAGAGCTAGTGCATAACCATCTTTTTATGACCTGTTTTTAGGCGTGTATCTTTAACTTTTGTGTGTTCCATAAGGTGGAATAGAATGGCTGAAGAGGAGAATTTAAAATAGAATGTATCTTCCATCTAACAAACTAAGTATGATACAAGTGTCTTTGTTCTTGCTAGTGGAAGTTGTGGAAGTTTTGCCCCATGACTTGTGTTATAACTTGTTAAGTAAGAATGAAGTACAGATGAGGTTTTGGTAGTTTTCCAGTAATATACAGCTAAGCCAAATGTTTTCTTAAGCAGTTCATCATCTAAAAGTAGCAATGGGACCCTTTTTCATTTGCTAAAGGAAAATATGAACCTAATGAGGGGGTCAGGGGGAACCCAAACAAACTGCTTTTTAAATAATATAACTATAATATATAATTATATATATATATAAAGGCAATGAGGGAAAAACAGTTTTGAGAAGATAAAATGTAGTAGCTACTTTCCTTTAGGTGTTAGTTACTAGATGAGTTTTAATGAAAATCTTCAGGTGCTATACCATACAGAGGGAGTTGATCACAAAATGCAGCAAAGGTTGATTCTAAGCAAATGAAGGCACATGAACAGTTTAATAGTGAACGTTTACATATTTAGCTTTATTTAAAATACATTACTTAAAATATAGTTTAAATGGTATTTAGTATATGACTTAAAATACTTAAATATTAAAAAATTATCAAAGTATATGTGGTTTATGGAGCTCTTTGTTAACTGTTTCTGTGTTCATTAAGATCTTTGATTATCTTTGAGAAATTTGTTCTTTGTAAGAAATTTGTTCTTTGTAAGAAATTTGCAGTAGTGTTAGTTAAAGGGGATCTAATGCCTGGCTTTTAATCACTTTCAGGTCTCTTGTAGCTAACCTTGCTGCTGCTAATTGCTATAAGAAGGAAAAGCATCTTGATTTGGAGAAGAACTGGAAGTTGGTGGAAAAGGCCAAAGTTTATTATATAGCAGTAAGTTCAGCTTCTTTCAAATTACTAAAATTCGTGTTAAACATTGTGAGGTCTAAGCAATGAGGATGTTTGTTGCATAATGGTTTAGGATGATTTTGTAGGAATACAATGAAAGAACGTGACTGCTTCAGTTTCAGTGTAGTTTGATTTCTTTGAATTTAAACGTACAAATGTGGAAGTATGTTTGAGTTGTGTGCTTTCTTAAGTTTGTGGGAAAAATCATAAGAACTGAACATATTTTCAGAGCTTTTGTAGTAGTGCATCAAATTTACATTTCACATTTTCTAGTAAATTGTTGTGAAGGATGCACAAATTATGTAGAAAAACACTATTAGCATAATTATTCACTGCAAACAGTTTGAGCTTATTTGTGTGAACAATCTTAATTGCTATTTATTCCATAGTAATTACTATGGCACCTTATAACTCAATATTTCAGAAACAATGATTGTGACAAATCTCTTGAATGTGGGCGGTGGGGCAAACTGATTTTAATGATGAAATCTTACTCCTGGAATAAAGGAGGTTTGAGGATGGGGCATTAGCAGATTCACAATTAGTATTCTTTTTTTTGCCATCCAGAATTAATCAAGCCAGATTAGTGTATTTGTGTAGATTACATCTTGCCTAAATAGGAGTGGTGAATTTGTTTTCATCTTGCTCCCAAGTTGATATGACTGATCAAAATTAGCAAACATCTATGACAGATTAAAACTGCGTAACGTGCATGTAATATATGGATTCTCTACGACAGCTGCTTCCATTCCACTACCTGAGCTATGCAGGAACAGCTGGTAAGAAGTGTAAAAAATTGATTATCCAGGAGGAACAAGTTCATTGAAAAAATACAGTTATTTCTTTTAGGTAGTGTTAATGTCTCCTACAGCCTGTTAGTGTGCACTGCTGTAGGCTTTACACGGTTCTTATTGATTCTTGTGTATGGCCAAGACTGCCCCTTTATAACTGTCAAAAAATACTTACAACCTTCTCAGTACACAAAGAAAATACATCCCACTGCTCTGACCATATGTTTGTGCTGCAGTTGAAAAAACACATCGGTGTATTGTATACTTACTTTTTATTTCTGTTTTTCAAGCGTTCTGAGTTTTTTATTTCCCAATAGTTATACCTCAGTCTGTTCCAGATACCACGCTTAGGAATTAATGCTATTGGCTAAAAAAATACTGAAAGGCTAAGAGTATAGTTAAATAAAGAAGAATGTTATCAAATGTCAGATGTTATCAAAAGCTATACTGCACTACTAAGTTGGTTGGTTGTTGGTTTGGGTTGTTGGGGGGGGAGGGTTGTTTATTTTTAGTGGGGTTTTTTGTTTGTGTTTTGGTTTGTTAGTTGGGGTTTTTTTATCTTACCATGCTTGTTTATAATTACCAATGAAGGTATAATCTGATGCAGTTTAGATAAACTAAACTTAAAGGAGAACTCCTGGATAAATGGGTGTCATGGGTTTAGCAGGAAACATTACATGAGGTGAACAGCAGCTTGGTTTTTTTAAGGTACAGCCATCATTTTACTTTAGCTCTGAAGCCAGTCGTCTGTGTTCAGTCAGTTTGATCACTCAAATTTTGACTAGGTGATACAGTACGCTGATTTTCATATATATTAAAAGCTGTTCTTCAGGTGCCAGTCCTATGACATCCAAGCTTTGACTAAGAGAATTATTATACTAAACTGAAAATAAACCCCAAGATGTTCATATGTTAATGATTAAATAAATAATACTGAAGTGGTAATAAATTGTGCTAGATACTATCAAAGTGGAATTCAGATTAGGGAAGCATCTGACTGCAAGAGGAGATCTGTTAGGTAAAGAGCCTGGTTCACACCTGTAGCAAAAAACACCCACTCAGGTGGGTTCATCTAAGAGATTTCTAAGACTGTTGTAATTTAAGACCACAGGTGGCCCATGTAACTCCTTACGGAAAGGAGACAATGTGTAGAACCATACATGCTCATGCTAAAATACATTCATACCCTTTTCCTTCATTTAGCCTCTTTACTTGAAAGTTTGTAGCAGTTTACCAGATTAAATAAAACCATGTAGTGAATAATTACCATTCCTGAGGTACAGGGTAGCTCTCTGAGTCCTTGTCTACTGATGTCTGTCTTCACTTTAGTCGTTACCTTCCTTGGCTTTGCACTGTGCGTGTGTTGCTTTTCATTTCCTTCTTTCTGTCCAACTGTCCCCTATTTATTGGATTGCACTAGAATGTATGTAAGTGACAGATACTTATTCTGGAAATCTGTGTCCCGAGATTATAGAACAATCTATTTTCTTGGCAGAGCAGGGCAGTTGTTGCTTTCAGACAGGTCTGTGATATCCTCTGGTCATCTGTATGTGCTTCCTAGAACAGATAATATGCTTTTCAATGCAGCATTGAACAGAATGGTCCACAGATGAAACTTAGCTCTGAAATCTAATCAATTTACAGAGGAAAGAGTAAGTACAAAGGAAAAGATAGTGAAGCCGTGACAGAGCCCTTAAAGACAACTTCTGTTACCATGAATGAACACAATACATTTATTTTAGCCATCTGGTAATCAGATCCGGCAGACAAATTGGAGAAAGACTAGCAAAGAATAGGACCCTGTAAATCACAGATAGAAGCAAAACACAGAGGCTGCCCCAGCTTTCTCAAAGATGGTAAACTTTAAAGGTGTATTCTAATCCTTTAAAATTACTCTGCTTTGTATCATTTAAGATAGATTGCATGTGCTGTCAAACTCTATGCAATTTCTTTCCCTTCTCCAGATATAATTCATATACTTGCAGTAATTTCTACCATTGACATATCTTCCTGTCTGTCATATTCATTTCACTGTGGATCAGCTAACTGTGCTGTGGTGTCTGATTAGAATTCACTGTGAGGGATTTTATTTGGTTCCTACTGGGGCTAGAAAATGTCTCTTCCTCAGACATTTTCCTTGTTTCAGAATAAGTTGAGACTTACGATAAGACTAAACATTGTAATTCTGTTTGTGAAATTGTGAATGGGACACAACCTAATATGAAAAGATGTTAAGTTTTTTTTTTCTTTTTCTTTCTTTCTGTGAATTTATGCTTTCTGTCAGGGCTTGCAGCTTAGAATTCTTACCTATTAGAGTTACATCTTACAAACTTGTGTGATGAAACTCCACACCTCCACACCTTGTTTGCCTTATTTTCAGAGGCATTTAATAAACTGCTGCTAGTACTCTATTTATGTAGGCATCTCTAAGTTAAATTCTGTAACATGTACTGGGTTGTGGGGTTTGTTTTGTTTTTTGGTTGGTTGGTTGGTTGGTTGGGTTTTTGTGGGTTTTTTTGTGGTTTAGGGATTTGGGTTTTGTTTTTTAAGATCATCAGTATCTTGAACACCAGTTGAAATCTGTGGAAGTTGCTGGTCCTCGTTTTCTTTGACATTGCATACCAACATTTCAACATTTTCAGTGCAACTTGCAGCATATAGCTATTAATTTTCATATCTTACAAAGGTCTGGGGTACAAAGATATTTTTTTTATTGTTAATGTTTTTTATTAAAAACATAATCCACTTAAGTGAGAAAAAAAGAAGGAGAATTTTAGTTGTTATTTGACTCCATTAACCACCTGTATGTTACTCTGTGAGTAAGGAATTTTGCACTTGTCCTTTCTTAATAGGAAGAAAATGGAAAAGGGAAGAAGAAACTGCTTTATTGCATTAAAAACTGCACCTAACCTTGTGAAATCTTAACTTTGTGAAAACTGACACTGCTTGCTCATACAGACAGCTGAATTTTAACTTTCTGGCTGTATTTGAACATTATTGCTGCAAGCGTGGTGCTTCCCAGGTGTGTGTTCTCTCTTGTTCCAGTTAGCTATCTTTATTTCTGCCAGTTATTTAGCTTTACTCGATTTGTCCTTCAGTCCAGCACCTGCATTCATTTTATGTTTGCAGTTGGAGGCATTAGATGGGTGAAACACTCTCACTTGACGCCAGTATTATGTTGTGGTGAAGTAATAAATGTGTTCTTGAAAGTTGCTTCTGTGCTTTGGGTTTTCTTGTTGATGTTTTGTGTTGTTTTTTTTTCTTGAAATACTTTCCTGTACTTAGCGTATGAAATGGCAGGATTGACTGCAGTTAGGTACCTGGTCTGTAGTAACTTGAGTCTTAACTTAGAATGGATTGGTTAAGTTGCTCCCAAAAACCAAACAGATCTTCCTTTAATAACATGCTTGTCTCTTTTCTGCACAAAGAAAAATAGTAGGTTGTTGTTTAGGGACTGTATTTGAATTTGTTTTTTGAGGATATAGTTTTCATGCTTAAAGCACTGGTGTTATAGTGTCTTTCAAAGCTTTTCTCATTAGTATTTACACAGACTCCTTGCCTAGTCATTTCGTATAGGTATGGCATTGCTGACGCTCATACTTACCTGTGTCCATTAAAGAGAAGTGGGAGCATTTTTACACCATACTTTATGCATTCTGATCTCTTGTCTTAACTATTTGTATTTACAGTGCCTGAATACTTCAGCTCCTGTGCTTTCTATCGTGGGTAGAGGGTAGAGGAGCAATGAAGCTTTTATGTAGTGCTAAGACTTATTTATGTGCAGCTGAATCTTGGCTTGTTCGCTTTCAGTATTGTCATACAATCTTCTCTTCAGAGAAGATAAAGCTTTCACTCAGCTTTGCATGGGCTGTTGTTATTTCACAGCCTGTAAAAGTTTAAACCATTCCCTTCTCCTACTTCCATGTAGCAAATAGGAGAAATTTCTCAATGGTGATGCCCTTCTGTTGTACCACACTAAGTATAAAAGTATTAAATTTTATAATACTGCTTAGGTTTGTTATCCCACAGTTAGCTTATATTCACCACCTTCAGCGTCTCTTTTGTGCTTACAGAGTTAATGGCAAGTGTAATTTATTTTGATGTTAATGACAGTTCTGATCAAGGCCAGGTATTCTGCTCTTAGGCTGAGTTTCAAGTAGGCAATGCGTTGCAGCATGTCGTAACGAACCCAAT